CAGCTGTTTGTTCTCAGGTAGGGGGGTATCCCAGTCGACCGCACCCTCTGATAGATCTCTGAGTAGTGCTTTACCTTGAACGGTGACGGGAGCCACAAATCCCAAGGGGTCATACAAACTGTTTATTACTGACAAAAGCCCCCGCTTGGTGTAAGGCCTCTCTTCCTTTGGGACGTGAAAGTTAAAGCAGTCTGTATCCAAGTTCCAAAGCAGGCCAAGGCTGCGTTGTACAGGGAGTGAGTTGGCGCCCGGCCCTAGCTCTTTCAATGAACTGGCGTAATCCTCAGATGGGAAGGCTTGCATTACTTCTTTACTGTTTGAGGCTAATTTGTGCAACTTCAAGTTGGACCCTGCAAGCATGTTTTGTGTTCTTTTGAGTAGATCTATTGCCATGTCCGGTGAGGGCAACGATTTCAATCCGTCGTCCATGTAGAAGTCTTGTTCCACAAACCGTCGGGCGTCTAGGCCAGAAACCTGTTCCCCTTCTTGAGCCGCTCAACGTAGGCAGTAGATGGCGACTGCTGGAGAGGGACTGTTCCCGAACACATGGACCTTCATGCAGTATTCTGCGACCTCATTCTCTGGGTTGTTTTCATGAAACCATAGAAACCTCAAATGGTTTCTGTCTGCAGGTCGAACTTTGAAGCAGTAAAACATCTGTTGTATGTCCACCGTGAAGGCAACGGGCTCTTTGCGAAAACGTATGAGGATTCCAAGAAGGCTGTTGTTAAGGTCAGGGCCCTTTAGAAGAACCTTGTTTAGAGAAGTACCTTTGTACTGAGCACTTGAGTCAAATACCACCCTGATCTGTGATGGTTTTTTTGGGTGATAGACGGCGAAGGACGGCAGGTACCAACACTGCTCCTTGGGGTTGAGCCGAGGGGCTATCTCAGCGTGGCCATTCTGAAACAATTTTTCCATGAAGGCTATAAAGTCCTTTTCCATGTCTGGCCGTTTCTTGAACGAACGTCTGAGCGTGTTGAGGCGCTCTACGGCCTGAGGTCGATTGTTTGGAAGATGTTGTCTTGGTTGAACAAATGGAAGTGGGGCAACCCATGAGTTTTCTTGGTCCTTGTACACTTCCCTATCCATAATTTGCAAGAACTGTTTGTCCTCGACAGACATTGCAATATTTTCATCCTCCTTTGTTTCCCGAAACACATCCAATCCTATTGCTCTTCGGTTCTCTTCCTCAGTAAGAGTTTTAACGTGAGATGTGGGTGTAGGTCTAACCTTTACTGTGTAACTGTTGGAGCATGGATGGAAGTATGTAAGCCAACCATTCTCCAGAACGTTGGTTCGGTAAGCCTGCACAAGAGCAGGTTTATGGGCTTTGCCAAGACACATGTCACCGATAATTACCCAACCTAAATCCAGTTTTTGGGCGAAGGGAGCGTGTAGTTGTCCGTTCACTTGACTATGCGCCTTGTGAACCCTAATTATGTCTCTGCCTAACAGAAGAAGAATGGGAATGTGAGGCATGGGCTCTGGGATGTGCTTCGCCCGATGCTTTAAGTGTTCATGTTGGCGAACCACCTCAGGACAGGGTATTTCCGAGCGGTTATCTGGAATTTCATTGCATTCAAGGAGCGTTGGCAGGGGTAGGGTTATGATTCCATCAAACGATTCCACCTGAAAGCCACGTGCTAATCTGCCTTCTTTTTCAACTGTTCCCACACATGTCTTTAGGGTGTAAGCGACATTATCCTCCGTAATGTCGAACACATCAAAGAATTCTGTTCTCGCTAGTGACCTGTTACTTTGGTCGTCCAGGACCACATACATTTTGACCGCCTTTTCTGAATGGCCTTCGGGGAACACCTTTACGAGACATAGCTTAGAGCAGGAACGTGGAAGCTTGCTGTCTCCGCATAACTTCGCACAGGCGAAAGGACTTCGGGTTCTGCTGATGTGTCTTTACTCTCATTGAGATCCGCGGTTGCAGAGGATCTTAACTCTTTTGCCCATGGTGCAGGGCCTGGGTGTAGTACCGACATGTGCTTGTTGTTACCACATTCCGAGCACTTAATCTCTTGATTGCAATTCTTGGCCATGTGTGATACAGAACTACAACATTTGAAACATATGCCGTGTTGCCTGAGTAACGCTTTTCTCTCTCCCATAGGCTTCATTCTGAGTCCCCTGCATGCAGCTAGAGGGTGAGGATTGTCATGTACGATGCACTGCTAAACCGGATTCTTGGATCCACTAGGAACCACTGACCTTTCCGTGAAAACCTGAGTCTTGTGAGTGGCAATGGTTCTATGAGGTAGAGGTTTGTTTGCTCCACGTGACTCCAGCTCGGGTCGTTGCGCATTTTAGCTTGCTGGCATACAAAGTCTACCAAGAAGTGGAATGGAGGAAAAGATACCTTATAATCTTCTTTAAACCTAGATCCAGCTGAGAGCCACTTTTCTTGTAGGCCGAATGGCAGCTTTTGTACTATGGGGTTTACACCTCGTGGTGTGTCTAGGTACGTGAGACCCATCATGTCACCATCTTGTTTGGCTGCTTGGATCTCCATGAGCAGATCCCCCAATTCGCGCAGTCTGTAATTGTCTCTGTTAGATATTTTTTGAAAGTTTTCTAGTTTCTTGAACAGAGCACTCTCCACCATTTCTGGCGCCCCGTATGTCTCGTAGAGCCTGTCCCATATCAGGCGGAGCCCCTTTTGCGGGTGATTTATGTTCACAGCCCTAATGCGTTTAGCATGTTCTGATGACTCGCGCCCTAGCCATCTTACTAGCAGGTCTACTTCTTCGCTAGGTGACAGGTTCAGATCTTGGGTGGAGTTTATAAAGGAAGCTCTCCATGCTCTGAAAGTCTCTGGACAATCATCAAACTGCATAAGACCCGTAGACACCACTTCCCGTCTCGCCATGAGCTTGACCACGTCTGATATTTGGTTATTTCCCTTCAACTCATTTTGATGAGGCCCAGCTTGGGGGGAATGTGTGTCTTTAGTTGGGTGGGTGTATGATGCAATTACGTACTGGGGGACAGTGGGGCGTGGCTTGCTCTGCACATTGACCGACTGTAACTTCGGCGTTATAACCCAGAAGTTGCTCTGCTCTCCCTGTTGTACATACGATTCTGTTTTCTGTCTTTGCAGAACACTCTTAACACTTGCGTCTTCTCTATCCTTGTACGGCCCATACAGTACTGGCATTTGGGAATCAACAGGATTGTCAGTTTGGTCTCTTAGATACACTTGTGTGCGTTCCGCCGTAGGGCTTCTGCCTTTGCTTCTATAGCTGCGGCTCTTTTCTCTAGCTGTAGAGTCTCCAGTGATGCTTGGAGGTGTGCTTGCTGTACCTTTATCTCGCTTTCCTTCCTTGCAAATGCTATTTCTGCTTTAGCTGCTTCTGCCTCTGCTCTAGCCATAGCTGCCGCTGTATTCACCGCTGAAGACCCACGTGAATATCGTGATGAGCAGGAGCTTCTAGAACCCTGTCTACGTGACCCCGATTTTTGGCTTGATTCTGTCATTGTAGAAGAAAACCCTTTACTCACTGGCTTGCTACCCGCCGTAAAGCGTGCAGACTGGAAGTTGTACGTTGAATTGTCTTCGTGTTACTGTTCTGCCCTTTATGTCAAAAGACCTAGTTTGACTCGACAGACAGATAACGTCTCCCACAGACCACAGACAACCAATGGACTTTGACGCTTTACTGCTAGCCATGGAATGACGTAAAACTGTAGAAACACAAATAACATAATAAATGCACAGCATCTACTGGCACATTTACATGTGCATACAAAGGCTCTTAGCATGTACAAACAGTGTCTGCAATAACGTATAACTGCACATGTGCATACAAAGGCTCTTAGCATGTACAAACAGCATCTGGAATAACGTATAACTGCTTAACAATGTGTTTTAACTTCTCCCGTTGATAATCCTAGAACGTAATGATAAATGAGTATGTTTTCAACTTAAACATTGCCTTTACTTAAACTTATACGTTTTCAATAGCTTTTACATACCGAAAGTACCTTCAAAAAAACTTAAATCGAGGAGAAGCGATCATCCTGTCTAAATACAGATAAGCTGTATGTAGAATGTGGCTCACATTAATGATGTCATCGCTAAGAGACACAGAAGCTGCAATTACAGTCTTAGGACAGAAGGTGTCAGACTTATCCTCCGGGTCAGCTACTGTTTGTAGAGAACAGCGCACCAAGTCCATTAATTTCTTCTGAAGATGTAAATCTTGAAAAATGTGCCACAAATATAAACTTTAATTTGTTTAAAATAGGTAAGTTATGTCCTCAACAGGTTGGGCAATGCAGTTTTTAGCAAATGCTACTTTAAGAAGATTAAATTATATATTGGGGAGTTTTTTTAGCTGCAGGCTTGGTGCTGTGCTGTACTGTACTGCAGGAAGATGTCTGTGAGGCTGACACAAAATATGCCCATATTCACCATAATGTTTGGAAGTGCAACCTTGTGGCTTATTCATGTGTTTCTGGCAGTTTTTGGACAACAGTGGAGGTTTGTATCACAGATGAATAACATATTTCAGGCTTTGGCTTCACAATTCGTTGTTAGTTTCAACAGGATAATTGGCAATAAGAAAAATACAGACTATCATCAGACTTGCTCTTCATAGGTTCAGACCTGCATGGCTTGATGGTTAATCATAATATTGTTGTGTCCATCTGAGATGAGTGTTGATTCATCTGCAAGTGCCATAAGTAAAATCAAACATTCTTTGGGTTTTTTTAAAGTATTTACTGTATCATTTTATTTCAGGAGGTGAGCCCATGAGGAAAATGCCTATGCCAAAATTTGGTTCCAGACCTCGATTTGAGCCTGTACACTTTGTCAGTGGTGGAAGCAGTGGAGGAGCTGGTGCTGATGAGAAAGAGAATGATAAGGAGCGCAGGAGGAGTGAGTCATACAGTGTGAGACAGTGGGACTCTGAACAGTCTTCTTACAGCAGCAGAGCACAGGGCTTCTCCTTCCTGAGGCCTGCACCCTATAGTTCTGACTTTTGGGGTTCCCATAGAGATCGAGACCGTGATGGAGAGATTTCTTCAGGCAGTACAAGTATCTTAGGTTATGGAGGACATGGATCTATTTCAAACTTCATGACAAAAACAGAGCAGGACTACACAGCCAAGTATGAAGCCCACACCTCTCGAAATTCAGACTTCTATACTCAGATCCACAGGTACAATGGATATGGGGGAGGAAGCAGATCAGGAGGCTGGGATTCAGGACATCGGGGTTTGGGGTACAGTCATCAGGACCGGACTTCATCAAGTAGGCCATTTAGCAGAGTCTACAACAGCCCAGGCAGAAACAGTCCTACCACATCTCAGTCGGGCTCTTCGTCGCATCCTCTTCCTATATTGCCATCAGCATTGGATGAGAAGCAAAGGCTGATTGCCAGTGTAGCATCTGCATTGGCTGTTGCTTTTAGGGACCCTATGTTCATGACTGGAAGTGACTCGCCAAACTATAATTTCATGTTGAGCCGCAGCATTCAAGCCTGCAAGACCAACCCTGAGTATATTTATGTCAACCTGAAGGATATTCCTCAGGCTGACCTGCCGAAGAACAGGAAAGTACCAACAGATGGTTATGCCTGTGAACTGAGATGTCAGGGTGTGTATCTTGCCACTGGATACTCCGGCAGTAAAAATGGAGCGAGGGACAGAGCCTCTGAGCAGGCTGTAAAACTTTTCCTGAAACCAGTTGAGGTGCGTGTTGTGCAACGCAAACACAAACACTCAATAGTCAATGACATGGTTGTTTGCCAAATGCACAGCTCAACCCCAGCCTTTTTACCTGCACTTCGTAACCCAGAGGATAAACCAACACCCAGCTCTAAGGGCCAGTATGAGCCTGACAAGCGAAAGCACTGGACAGAATTTGTGGTTGTGGACAATGCTCATGATGCCATCTGCATACTCAATAATTCTGCGGCTTTTAACCGTATGAAGATAGACTATAAATTTGACCTTCTCCCTAATAACAATACTTGGCTGTGCAGTGTTTATCTGCAGGATGAGCTGGTGGCACAGGCAACAGGCAGTAAAAAGAGCTCAAAGCATGCAGCGGCTGAAGCAGCAGTGAGGAAACTTCGCACGAACCAGGCACAACGACAACATCAGCAACAACAGCAGCTAAAGCAAGAACAACAATCGGAATACATTAGAGGAAATAATCGATTGGATTCTGGTGGACGTTTTGGGCAACAGGGTGTCAAAAAGAAGCATCTAAGTGAGCTGGTTATCCTGGAAAACTCAGACAATGCCATTTGCATAATTAATGACACAGCTCAGTTTAATAAAGTGACTGCTGATTACAAGTTCACTGTTCTGCCTGATCATCGGTGGAAGTGTGAGGTGTACTTGGAAGGACAGTATGTAGCAGCCGGAATCGGGCCCAAGAAATCAGTGAAGCACATTGCTGCAGAGGAGGCTCTGGCCACCTTGAGACAGACGCAGGCTGTGGTCAAATCCAACCTAAGGAAGGAGGGTCACAGTGACGCCATATCCCGATCCCAGATCCTGGCTCGCTCTGGGGAGGAGGCCACAAAACAGGAAATAAAAGAAGATAACATAGGAAATCAGCTGCTCCGCAAGATGGGCTGGAAGGGTGGTGGTCTGGGTAGAGATGGTGAAGGTATCGCAGAACCAATCAGAGTGAAGGAGCAGTTCTCCAGAGAAGGGCTAGGTATGGACACAGACAAAACCGGAAACCAGCTCAGCAAGCGTGATATCGAGGACATCATCCGTAACTACGCCACCTCAGATCGTCAGGATGATCTTCGCTTCTCCACTGAACTCACCAATGATGAACGCAAACAGATCCACCAGATATCGCAGAAATATGGCCTACGAAGCAAGTCGTACGGTCAGGGACGGCAGCGGTTCCTTGTTGTTAGTCGCAAAGTGCACAAAGACCAGCTCATTGGGCAGCTTTTACAGGAAGGACAGGTGGGACGATATGAGCTTGTGAAACCTCAGGCCTCTCACTAATTTGCATGCAAAGCAAAATGGATGAAAAAGACAAAAATTAGCACTGACTTGGACTTCAGAGCAAATCACACTCAAGTGTAACTACTGTTTGTATACTTGTGTGTGACAAATGTTAATAAATGAGAATCTTTCAGGTATCACCTGTGGTTTCTGCATTCCTTGGCCATGAAACATACTTTAGCTTTAGCAGGGGATTTAGAAGTAATTTAATTTTTCTTCTGCCATTCCACGTTCTATATTTGTTTCACTTTTGCACAAGCTTGTGTTCAGTGCTTTTTGTGTATTGTGTCTTTATGATGCTCCAGTTATTTCCTAAAATTAAAAAAAAATGACCTTACAAGGCTTTTGTCACCAAAATCTGTTTTTTGTTTTGTGGCTGTTTAAGGAACCTGGCAGAATATGCAGCTTTTCACCGCTTGTTTGTGAGCATTGTAGACAGTCAACTCACGAAAGACTAGGAATAAACAGGCATTAACATCAGACTAGTTAGGCGCTCATTCCAGTTTTACTGTAGTGATACATCTCTGTTCAGCACTACCTGTAGTGTTGCTTGCTCTTTCACCATGTGGAGATCATTCTACAAGTATGTGATCAGAAAACCTTCACATGTACGCTGTAGGCTGTGATCCTTGTTATGTGTCTGATGTGTTGGTTTGTGAGTACAGTTGTCTGCTTGTGTTCACAGCTGTAATAACTGAATAAATTAAACCTGAGTAAAATTGTGTATTTTAGTATTGCAAGTGAAGAGGCAAAGACAACTGATGTATATTTTATTTACAAGAAAATGTACAGTTTGTTACATGGGTTACCAATGCAAAGTTTTATAATCTGACAATAGTCATAATCCTGTTTAAATAGTATAATCAGCTCATTATGACAGCTGAGATTGTAAAATAGCATAGAAATGTTCTCAAACAGCCTTTAAATTATGAAACTGTGCCCATGAAAAGGGTATCAGGTGTGATATGTCACATAGAAGAGGGATAGATGTGTTTACTTTTCATTGTGTTCACTTTCATTTTTAAAATCAAAAGGCATGACTTTACAAGTACAGTTGAGAGAAAGGCATCTGTTGAGTTGACACCATGAAGGACAGATGGATGTCCATACCAGGTTAATTTTTATCCCACTGAAACACTTTTAAAAAGGCAGAAATAAAACCAAAAGAAGTAAGCCCACTGAAACAAGAGAAGCACCCATTGAACAGCTTTGTTTCTCTGTAAATAGGAACTGTTGGGATCTACACAGCAAACCACACAACAAGCGCATCTAATTGTGTGTCATCCAACCAGTTTACTCAACAGTAGAGAAGTGACAATTGAAAGACTGGCAATTGCATAAAAAAAAAAAAAAAGACTCGGGGCATGTAGCAAGTAACCCAAATATAACAAGGTACATTAACTTTTAACAAACACGCTATTGCCCAACAATCGCATTTGGCAGAAATGAATGTCACAACACAAGAGCATACACACTTGGCAACAGTTATGGGACAAATATACTGAGGAGGATTTTAAGATGTCATTTTTCTGTGAGATCGATTTTTTTTTGCTTTTTTTTTTTTTTTTTTTTGATAGGTGGTTTCTTGATTCTGGGCTGGACACTGTTCATACTTGAATGTTAACAGGGGTCAACAGTCACGCCAACTCTGTTCAACAATAGCAGAAACCCTCTTCTCATACTCCCGCTTGTTTTCCTGGTAAAGCTGTGCTGCTTGGCTGTTGGCTGGACTGTTTGGGTTTGGCTCATCCAGTAAAGACTTAAAAATACAACAGTGTCAGTGGATTAGGTTTCTATTAAATGTTTATGAGGCAATAATCATTTCAAAATTAGACATTTATTTACAAAGGCTCTGTGGATATTATTTCTCTTGGTGACTACAAAACTCACTAATTTAGGTTTTCTTAATTTACATGCATTTGCACATTGTGTCTTTCAGAATAAAAGGAGTGTTAAACTACCTGTATTGAGGTTAAGATTGATGAGACATCATAGGTTGGACTCCAACGATTCTGAAGTATATCTAAGCATATGCTGCCATCTGCATACACTGCCAAAGAGCACAGAGAATATAAGGATGATACAGAAAACCAAAGTCAGTTTTCCTCAGATACATAAAGAATAAATGCAGCAGCTTTTGTATGCTGTAATTGAAATTGTTTGAGTAATTATCCACCACATACTGTCAGGTGCATACCATTTGGATGAAACATTTTGGAGACAAATCGCACTGTTGGAGGTTTATTTGGATATTCCTCTGTGAATTCAATGGTAAGTTTGAAGGTTCCTGAAAGTAAGAAGTAAAAGAGTCACTCAAAAGCAAGACTCTGTCATTTTTGGAACTCAGCTTCCAACTTGATGAGAAACAGACTCATATAATAACATGATGCTTGTAAAAGAAAAGCAACTAAAAACTAAAAGGTCCAGTACAATAAGTTACTAGATTGGAAAAAACACTAAATGGCCTCCATCCTATCGGTATAGGAGACCCGAGTAGTAGCTGTATTTTGCTAGAAAAACAAACTTTCACCTGACAAACTTTCAAGGAACCATTGAAGAGCTTCTCATAAACACACCATTAAATATAATCTAGCTTCCAAAACCGAATGCTTCGAGTCATCGTTACTATTTAATGTCGCAGAGTTGGAAAGCTAAATTATTTGGATATAAACTGCTTTACATGGGACTTACCATCTTCAAAAGGTGTTCCCTCTGGTCTAAAAGACAGACAACAATCAGGTTATAAATCAACTTGCAAAAGGCTCTTAGTAAATTTTCATAATCACTAAAAACAGTCACAAAACCAGCACACAAACTACAGCTCTACCTATTGCTTTATGTCTAAAAACAAGCTGTGAATACTTCTACAAATTACATACCATACAGAACAGTTTCTAACCCTACTGTAATATTTTTAACTAATCAACTTACCCAAAAATGACAGCATTCCATACCATGATATTGTTTTCTGAGGGGGCCCCACTAACTCCTGCTGGAGGATCCTCTTGTAGTCTAACAGATATAGTAAAAGACAGCACAGTGGCATCACAAAACACAGGGGATTTTAGAGAGAGCATTTTGCTTACATAGAAAAGTCAGAAATATCACTACAAGACATACTGTACTGTGCTGTGCTCAATAATTTCAAACAGTATATAACAATTCAGTGTAATACAACTAAATAAACCATTAAAGTAAAAAAAAAAAGATAATCAGCCAATTTTTAAAAAATGACATTAGGTCACAGGTCTGTGGAATTTTCAGTCTGTGCTAAAATCACAGAAAAACCCTTTATAACAATAACAAACTTAACTCTTTATAAACTAGCCTGCCATAGGCAGAGAAAATAATTATAGTAATTCAAAGCTTTTAAAGAATTTTCAAGACCTGCAGATTGGCTTTACAAAAACTATAATACTAAATATTAATTTGGATTGTTTTTGTAAAATGGCATCAGTAACACTAAAGTGGTAAAATACTTCATATTACCTACAGCAGAATGTCCTGTTCTGCTTTTATCTGCTGGGTCATTACAACCACATCCCTAATGAATGTTTATCAAAGTTTAGTCCATTAATTACAACGTCAAAAAAAGATTGCAATGGCTGAGTTTGACAGGGGGCCGACAAGGATTAGGTGTTGGACTCTGCAATGTACCGTAGATCAGGGATAAGAAACCATGTGCTATACCGTACCTAACTGTGCTGAGTGTCCGCGCGTTTTTAGTGACTGCATGGCAAATGGTTGCTTATCCTAAAGCTTAGGACTGGGACAGAAGCTCACTTGATCAGTGTATATACACCAAACGCTTCGTCTGTGAAGGGCCAACCTGGCCATTGACTTGAGCTGTATTCCCAATTATTACTTACACACACAACCCACAGAAAATTATACAGGAATAAGGACATGACCCGTTTCATAGAGTGCCCGAAGATAAGTGATTATGCTATGTACAATAAAAATCACAGAAAAACGAGATATACATCTATCAAAGCAGTGATCTTAAAGAGACAATTCATACTCCTGGCTGCCTTGCTAACGCTGGTGTCACAGTAACGTTAAGAATGATCGATACCTGTCAATATCTTAGTAGTCAGTATCTTCTTAATAATACATTGAACTAGATGTAGGCGCCCGCACCAAACAGAACACGAGTCCTTCTACAAGACTACATCTATTAATTTGTATTATTATTTGATGGTTGGGTAGATTAGGATGCCGTCTAGCTAACGCTAACAAGCTAGCCCTAGGTTGCTAACGTTAGCTATAGCTACTTCTCTGGTGTTTTCTTTTCGCTTACCGTTTAAAATCTCTCATTAAACGTCGTCTTGCTGGAGTTGACATCCTGTTTACATAGAAACCCAAATCCTTCGCATAAATGTAAGTATCTCAAGTGGGAAGGAATGTATGTTTTAAACCGGTTTATTATTTCAAGCCCTTAGCTGGTTAGCCAACCGATTGCTAGTTTATCAAATACTTGGCTGCCTGCGCTAGCCTAAGGGCGCTACCATTTACACTAAAAAGAAGACATTGGCATCCATTGAGTCTTAATTTTTGAGCTGTGTAGCCACGAAAACACAAACAATAATACTAAACGTGGTGTTGTTGAATATACAAATGTAAGCCAGTATTAGCGATAATATTTTTTATGAAGCAGAGAAAACCATATCTCTACAGTTGGACCATTCCAACAAAAATTACGTCATACGTTTAACTGCCATATTTAGTTTCAGAGGTTTTATACTTCCTTTATTTCCCATATTAATTTTTTGTCTACGTCATTTTGTCGATTAATTCAATCCATAGTTAAGTGATTACTAAAGGTGTACGCCGTGACTGTTGTTCTAAAGTAGGGTATTCATGGCTGACATCCTGTATAAAATTTACAAAACCTTGAAAGACCACTAGATGGTGCCTAGTACCCAAGTGTTGTGACGTTACATACGCCAGAGCAACCCAAAGCAAGAATGTTAACTTGATCGTAATAATAATAATAATAGGTAGGTCAAAGTGGTAAGAGGAGTTTGTTGGACGTATTCGGTGATGTCACAAAACCTAAACGCCTTACCAAACACAGGAAAATGTCTGGGACGTCAATAATAATTGAGTGTTTTCCGTAATTATATCTTGTGTGTCCCATATGGTCTAGCGGTTAGGATTCCTGGTTTTCACCCAGGCGGCCCGGGTTCGACTCCCGGTATGGGAATGTAACTTTTTTTTTTTCTTGATTATCCCAAATTCCATTTTTATTTGACTCAACAGTATTGCAAATACATAACGTTTGGTAGCACACACCCCAATTATTGACAAATTGTGTTTTTGCTCCTAGTTAGCCTACTTGATAACAGCTGTCACAGTATTCGCTCATCATTTCCAGACCCCGCCCGTAGAGGAGTTATCTCAATTACTCTGATCATACAGGGCTCCGACATTCCCGGAAGATGCCGATTTCCTTGTATATCTCCCTATGCTAACACTTACTGTAGTCTATAGTTTGGTCCGCACTTTAATTAGACTAATGCTAAATCGTATTGAGCTGCTGACAAAAGGCTTGTAAAGTCACACTAGTGACTTCAGCTGAATTTTTTTTGTTTATGGATTATTATTTAGGCTACTTTATAAGCAATAGGACATGACGCGAACACAAAACAACTTTCTTTTTAACGTTTTTTAATCCACCGTCGTCCCTCTATGCTTATTGCTCAACACTAAAGCTTGTCCCGACTCCTCTGGTCTTGCTTACTACTACTACTAGGCTGCAGCCAAGCGTTGGTGCCAGGCCAATCATTTCCCAGGAAAATGTGACTGCTAGGAATTCCCCACGCATCAGCCCCTGTCGGAGAAAACTGCAACCTTGTGTCTGGAAGCACACGAAAGCAGCGGGAGGGTAAAGCTGCCCGGCGAATGTGTGATGATGTAGCTACAGCACCGTTTTGTCTCCAAATCGCACCAGGGAAGGGATAATAATGTTCTTCTAACGTCGCCTTGTTTCACGAGGACAGCCACTTACTGCCTGCATAAAGCCAGGGGATATGCAGAGCTGATGACAACTTCTAACAGGGTACGTCCACTGAGTATCCTTAAAAGCATGTTTTATGGTTATATTTTGCTTTACTTGTAACTTAATACAACTGTATCTCTATATCATGTCAACATTATAACGTTCCCTGTGTGGTTATATTACTAAATTGCCGCTTTTCATATGAAATAATGAGAACTTTTAGCAGATAATGGTATAATATAAGACACTATATCCGTTTGTAGCCAATAACAGAGGACTTTCATTGCACTTTGCCAGTATGACACACTTTGTACTCGATAGTTTTTCAGACTACGACTAAAGAAGCATGACTGAACTCATGATGTTAATACTTACCACAGGGGTACATGCCCTGCAGGCGTTTCTTTGCTTACTTCTCCATAAATTTCTGGCTCCCCTTTTGAGTCATCCAGCTGGCATGTGGCTGCACTGATAGCCTGTGTGGCTGTGAGTGTGTGTGTGCAAAAAATCTTAACAATTTGTACAGCCCAGAAAATGGCAGTCACAATTCAAAGAGAAATACCAGTGCAATTTTTATTTGTAGTTACTGTATGCTTCAGTAGAATCACTATAGCTCTAACTGAATATAAACACAGTTTTCAGTTTGTTCTCTGTTATCAGACATATAGTCTTGAATGTGTGGCGCTGGCTTCAGTAGTGTTTGGAAAATGTGAGCCTATGTACCGAATAGTCAGAACAATATAATTGGTACATATTCTACCTCAGACTGGAGTTCGTTGGTATAAGAGTATCCATTAACACATTAGTTGAACCACAGAAAACAATGTTGATAGCTGATTAATCATTTTAAGTAATTTCAGCCTCTCAATGTAGGTGTTTGCTGTTTTTCTATGCTTCTGTGAAAATACATTGAATATATTTTGGTCTTGGATCCTTGATTTATTTATTTGCGACTGTGTTTGGGATGTCTGGATATAAAAAAAACTATAGTAACTGTAGATGATGTGACTCCAAAGTGCGTGCACCTACTCCACTGAACCAGCCTCAGACTGAAAATATCCACGAAACTGGGAAAGAGCTGGTTTATGAGAGTATTCAAATATTCTGATGACAAGTCTAAATAAATGTTTACCACTTTTCTCAAATACAGGCTCATGTATTTGGCAGAATAGTGTTTTTTTTATTGTTGATCAACCCTATTCTGTGGCAACTCTAAATGTTTGCCAGATGTTTACATTTTTGGGCTAAGATGCTTGTATCATGGGACACACAAACACAATCTCATTGGTCGACTACAGTTGCTCCCTTCAGGGGAGTCAGCCATGACGCAGAGGGAAGAGGAGAGTTATGAGCTTTTAGCTTGTTAGTCCCACTAGAAACAGGACCAGCTGGACTCGCCAAACGTTCGCTCACCCCGTCTCCTCTCTCTTTCATCTTTCCCATGGTGGGAACACTGGCAGAGGCTTGTGCATAAGTGGAAACTTCAATCCACTGAAAGCAATTATCCAGACAAGACATTCCAAATATACAGTATTCCATCATGGAGATGCCTTGTTTGTTTCAAACATGTGCTCTGGTTTTAGAAACATCCTGCCATGATGCTGCCCACACATCTCTTTTGCCCTTTTCCTGCTCTGCTTTGATAGCGTTAATGCTGCACTGGTTTTGAGTGATATGGTCAGTTGTGTGTGTTATATAGAAGATTGTGTGGTTGAGGTTTAATCAGTTCCTGGTAGCCTTCTTATCCTCTGACAGTGATATCACCATCAGGGGTCTGAGCAGCGGAGGAGTACGATGATTACCAAGGACAACACTGGAGAACTCTTCTGTGCTGTTCTCCCTTTTAGTCACAAAGCGCTCCTCAGACATCAGACACTTCGACTTCTTCTTGGCCAAGATGTGCCCGCCTGCCTTAATGGGCTGCTAGATATTGATTTGGCTACACAAAAAGAAGAACTGAGCTTTTATCTTATTTAGACAGCAGCACTCCAGCTTCACAAAAGCTTTCAGAGTGGCCTTGCAAGAGACAGGGACTGCAATGCTTTACCTCCCTCTAACAGTATTTACAGATATTGGAGTTTCCAGGAGCTCATATGACACGGTTTTAGCCAGGGCTTCAATATCAAGTGTTCACTCGTCTTACTTTCTCTGCAAGTTCAGAAAGATTATGATGACATTTTAAAAGGCCACCATCTTAGTGTAATGATCCTTTGGGTGAAAATTGGTTTAATTTGGCACTTGAGAAATAACCACAAGATGGCAATGTTCATATGGTTTGACTAAACAAACAACCATATGAGACGGCTGAAACCTCAAATGACTTGCATAAATGCAGGAACCGACTTGTGAAAAGAGAAATAAAACTGTCAACCTTCCCCTTTTTATGGGTTGAAAAATAACCCACATTGGCCTGTTTTCTGTTCAGGACTTGCAGGGGAACTGCTGTTTGCAAAGTTCCGTAATTAAACACTGCTGTTTCACCACCCCAGGCTTCTGACACCTGAATATCACCTTGTCAAACATGTTTGCTTACTAGGTGGCAGTAGCAGTAAACTGCTGCCACAGCACATGATGTCAGAGAGGAAAGAGAGATGAGGGAAATTCCACCTGTAACCTCGTTCTGCTCTCATGTTGCCCAGCCTCACAAGCATGTGACTTGGACGAGTCATTATGGCTTAGTTTCTCCATGAGTCTGTGCATTGTCATGATGTAATTCCAGGGTTACTGTCAAAACTATTTTTAGCATGTAGAAGAGGACAACTTTACTTTGTGTGGTAATAAAATAAGTGCCAAAGATTAGTCATTCAGGAGATAGGCAACAAAGTGGGATGTGAACTAAACAAAAATGGCTGTCATTATGCTGTCTATCTATGATATAGAGGTGTTTTTATTTGGTATTCATAAATTACTGAGAGGCAATGTTAAAACTGTGGTGAAATCAAGCATGACTTCACAAAGTATTAGTTTTACTTAAAGAGAGAGCTCAACATTTTGGTAAATATCATATTTGCTTTCTTGCTGTAAGTTATATGGGAATATTGATACCACTCTCATATCTATATAGTAAATATGGAGCAACTACAAGCAGCATTTAGCTTAGCTTAGCTTAGCACAGTGGCTCCTAAACTTTTTTTCTGCTGGGCCCCCTCTTTTGTGGGTAAAATATTTTTGAGCCCCCCCCAGCACCATGCACCTCAGTTATTCTTAGCTGAAAGGATTTTTTTTTTTTACCCCTTGGGACCAAGTCTGGTTAGCTGCTTCCCCCTGTTTCCAACCTTTAATACCCTAAGTTAACCAGCTGCTGGCTAACAGGAAGATGTAACAGTGGTCTTATCATCTAACTCGCTGCCAAAGAGTATGAGAGTAATGTATCCCCAAAATGTCAAACCTTTGTTTTCCTCATTAATGTACACACAGCACCCCATATTGACAGAAAAACACAGAAGTTTTGACATTTTTGCAGATTTATTAAAAAAGAAAAACTGAAATATCACATGGTCATAAGTATTCAGACCCTTTGCTGTGACACTCATATATTTAACTTAGGCTCTGTCCATTTCATCTGATCATCCCTGAGATGGTTCTACACCTTCATTTGAGTCCAGCGGTGTTTGATTATACTGATTGGACGTGATTAGGAAAGCCACACACCTGTCTATACAAGACCCTACAGCTCACAGTGCATGTCAGAGCAAATGAGAATCATGAGGTCAAAGGAACTGCCTGAAGAGCTCAGAGACAGAATTGTGGCAAGGCACAGATCTGGCCAAGGTTACAAAAAAAAATTTCTGCTGCACTTAAGGTTCCTAAGAGCACAGTGGCCTCCATAATCCTTAAATGGAAGACGTTTAGGACGACCAGAACCCTTCCTAGAGCTGGCCGTCCGGCCAAACTGAGCTATCGGGGGAGAAGAGCCTTGGTGAGAGAGGTACAGAAGAACCCAAAGATGACTGTGGCTGAGCTCCAGAGATGCAGTCGGGAGATGGGAGAAAGTTGTAAAAAGTCAACCATCACTGCAGCCCTCCACCAGTCGGGGCTTTAGGGCAGAGTGCCCCGACGGAAGCCTCTCCTCAGTGCAAGACACATGAAAGCCTGCATGGAGTTTGCTAAAAAACACCTGAAGGACTCCAAGATAGTGAGAAATAAGATTCTCTGGTCTGATGAGACCAAGATAGAACTTTTTGGCCTTAATTCTAAGCGGTATGTGTGGAGAAAACCAGGCACTGCTCATCACCATATCCTGGACGAAAACCTTCTCCAGAGTGCTCAGGACCTCAGACTGGGCCGAAGGTTAACCTTCCAACAAGACAATGACCCTAAGCACGCAGCTAAAATAACGAAGGAGTGGCTTCACAACAACTCCGTGACTGTTCTTGAATGGACCAGCCAGAGCCCTGACTTAAACCCAATTGAGCATCTCTGGAGAGACCTGAAAATGGCTGTGTAACTAGGTTTACCATCCCACCTGACAGAACTGGAGAGGATCTGCAAGGAGGAATGGCAGAGGATCCCCAAATGCAGGTGTGAAAAACTTGTTGCATCATTCCCAAAAAGACTCATGGCTGTATTAGCTCAAAAGGCTGCTTCTACTAAATACTGAGCAAAGGGTCTGAATACTTATGACCATGTGATATTTCAGTTTTTTGGTTTCAGGTTGTGTGTTTAGTGCCCACTCTGTCATCTTATGTTGACATCATAAGATTATTTAATTGCATAGATATTTTTATGGCATATGCTGAAGTCCACATAATTGCACAGAGCGTAATAAGCTGTATCAGTGACATATGTAAATACATTAAGGAGCGGTGGCTTGGTTTCTAATGGTCTAGCTTGTAGTTTGACCATACAAAGTAATTCTTTGCAAAAATAGAAACTGGCTTTGTCTGCAACTTTGGCACATAATCTGATTTCACCCTGTCATTTTTCTGTTCTCTTTGAACTAATGAGGTAGTAGTGAGTAGTTCTCAAAGGCCTTTGGATGAGTCAGCTCAGCCAGTGTAGCTTGGATTCAAACTGAGCTTTGGCTAAAGAAGCCAAGTGATCTTTCCTCGTGTACCTTT